GCGGGCGGACGAGCTCGGCTGGGCGACGAGCTCTTTCTCTCCCTCTTCCCTCTCCCTCTTTTTCTCTCCCTCTTCCTCTGCTCTGCGTTCAAAAATGGCGGAAAAAAAGAAAAAAAGAAAAAAAAAACCTAAAGCCCAAAACGACGTCGTTTTGGGCTTTAGGGGGATTCGGGGGCGAAATCCTCGAGCTACCAATCTTTATCCTTATCGAAATATGAGCCGTGATTAAACTTTTTGTATATGCATTTTATGAAAAATAACGTGACTTTTTCTGATCCATCATTTTAAGTTGTATTCATTATTCTAGTTCATACTTTTAATCTAAATAATAAGTTCTTGTATAAAAATTTGATTTCTAGATGATTTTTCTTAGTTGAACATGCTCAACGCTCCTTTGTAACATGGCCATTGACTTCTATTCAGAGGTCACTTGACAAATGATTGTTATAGTACATATGCAATGTGAACCTTTATGGAAAAGGAGCTGGAATTTTTTGCCTTAAAAAATGTCTCCTAATCTTATTATTTATAATCACATAATTTAATTTTAAATTTAAAAATTTAAAAACTATGAAAGCATAAGAGGGGTAATAGTACGTTTTTGGGACAAAATCTTAATTCTAGAAAAATATATATATATATATATATATATTTTTCTAGAATTAAGATTTTGTCCCAAAAACGTACTATTACCCCTCTTATGCTTTCATAGTTTTTAAATTTTTAAATTTAAAATTAAATTATGTGATTATAAATAATAAGATTAGGAGACATTTTTTAAGGCAAAAAATTCCAGCTCCTTTTCCATAAACTTTCACATTGCATATGTACTATAACAATCATTTGTCAAGTGACCTCTGAATAGAAGTCAATGGCCATGTTACAAAGGAGCGTTGAGCATGTTCAACTAAGAAAAATCATCTAGAAATCAAATTTTTATACAAGAACTTATTATTTGGATTAAAAGTATGAACTAGAATAATGAATACAACTTAAAATGATGGATCAGAAAAAGTCACGTTATTTTACATAAAATGCATATACAAAAAGTTTGTTGTACAGTTAATTATCTCTTAAATCTTCTTTTTAAGATTAAAACAAAGCAAAATCTTCAAGATTCTAAAACAGCACTTTTAAATTTACATCTAAGTGAATTGTTATATACCATTTATGGATTTGTTAAAGAATGAACAAATTAAGACCCAATTTTGTGGTGTTTTAAGACTGAAACTTTTGAAATTTTCTTAAAATACGGATTGATCCATGTGGTTTGAAAAATTACAAATATCTATTTGTTGAACTTTTTTATTTGACAAAATTAACTGAAAAAATAAAATTCCTAAAATACTCTTTTATACAATGATAAAATTACCTGAATTAAAATAAATTCATAACATCATTAAAAATTACTAATTGACTTGATGTTTTATTAATAAAAGGGACAAATTTCAAAGGGAGGGATATAATTTTCAGAATTACAAAAATAAATAGTATTTTAAGCAAATTTCAAAGTATGTATTTGTAATTTATCCATAAATAATAAATAAATAAGTTGTTGATAATGTTGTTTTAATTTTAAGTTTATGTATATATTTTTGAAGGTTCGAGTATCAGGAATCATGACAAATGCTCCTATAATCCTGACCCTAGATTGTGACATGTATTCTAATGATCCCCAAACGCCTCACCGCATGTTATGTTTCTTCTCGGATCCAAAACTTAGGCCCAATTTAGGGTACATTCAGTTTCCTCAGATCTTTCATGGGCTCAACAAGGACGATATTTATGCTTGTGAGTTTAAAGGCTTGTTCCAAACCAATCCTATGGGACTAGATGGCCTGCTAGGCCCGAATTATGTTGGGACTGGATGCTTTTTCTCTCGCCGAGTCTTTTTTGGAGGCCCATCATCTTTTTTGGCTCCCGAAATCCCCGAATTGTGGCCAGACCACGTTGTAAGCAAGCCCATCCAGGCCCAACAAGTATTGGCATTGGCACACCAGGTTGCAGATTGCAAGTATGAGAACCAAACCAATTGGGGTTCCAAGGTAAGCTAAAAGCTTGTTTATTAAATTTGAATTACACATTTTTTTTTATAATTTTTTTTATTTATTTATTTTTTTGTGTGGATAAATCACACTGACATTTACTGAAGTTTCAAAAAATTATAGTAAGTCCTTCATAAATTTGATTTATTGAAATTGAGTTTCCCTAGGTTGTGTTTGGATTATGAATTTACATGCAGATTTAGAAAGGAAATGAAAAGATAAGAGAAATGTGTATGAAATATAAGTTAATTTTTTTTCTCCGTTTCTATCGCCTTTTCCTTTTTCTTTTAAATTCCTACCCAAATTCATAATCCAAGAACAACCCTGTGGTTTTTAATTCACATAACAATTAATCCATTTTTTATCGGTAATTGGTAAGTCATATGTATGAAAAAATGATACTGTCATCTATTTTACATTGAAATATATATATATATATATATTAGAATGTTTATTATTTTATCTTCACAATATGTGCAATAATTTTGGTTCCTTTAACCTTACTAAAAATGAGGTCAATATATGCGCCAAAACTGATTTCTCTAAAAAGAGAAGATTACTGTAATTTACCCTATTTTTTTCTCTAAAACTGTAGGATTTACTGTTACTATTATTGTTATTAAAACATTGACTTGGTTGCAAAATATGCAGTTGGGCTTCAGATATGGGTCACTGGTGGAGGACTACTATACTGGTTATAGGCTGCAATGTGAGGGGTGGAAGTCTGTGTTTTGCCATCCAAATAGAGCAGCATTTTTAGGGGATGTACCCATAAACCTCAATGATGTCCTCAGTCAAACCAAGAGATGGTGTGTGGGCCTACTTGAGGTGACCTTCTCCAAATATTGTCCAGTAACTTTTGGTTCCAAGGCTATGGGGCCTCTAATGGGTCTTGCCTATGCACACTATGCTTTCTGGCCCATTTGGTCAATTCCAATCACCATGTATGCTTTCCTGCCTCAGCTCACTCTCCTCAATGGAATCTCCGTCTTCCCTAAGGTATGTACCTACCTCCACTAGTCAATTCAGTTCTGCTTGATCCAATAATTTTGTATAGTCTTCAGTAAATTGATATCAATGACAGAAAAATCTATATACACATAATTAAATTACAAAAATCCTACACAATGAGCAGAAATATAATATATCGTGATGAGCAAAAATATAATATATATATATATATATATATATAGAAAAATATTAAGAAAATTTAAGCACTTAAAATTTCAATATATAGTATTGATTTAAACTTTGTGTATGATGAGCCAAACTCTCTAATTCACATATTTCAAATTCATATCAATTTTTTAGGATTTACATAGCATTGTTGCATGTTAAGCCCACATTGGGTAAAAATAATAAGGGTAATAGGGTAAGTACCCTCTATCCGCAAATATCTATGTTCCTCTCTCCTAATCCACTCACAATTATTAGATCATGTGAGAATTTTGCGATGTGAAAATTTCAATACATATTCAATGACTGTGAGTGAATTAAGATTAAGGGATAAGGATATTTGGAGACAAAACATATTGGCACATTTTGGTTTGGGTACATTGCACTGATCTCCACTAAGGTTGAGAGAAAATACAAATTGAATAATTTTGACATAATTATATTTATTTCCTTTTAGTAAAATTAAAATGACTGAAACTAATATCTTTTTGCCATAATTACACGCTCTTGTCTTGGATCTAGGGGTAGTTTTGTTTGTTTGTTGGCTGGATCTGCCTCATTTTGGTCTGCTATGTTTTTAGTCTTTTTTCTTTCTTTTTTTTTTTTCCCCTCTCTCTCTTAAGTTGGTGCCTTGCCGACTTCTTGCACAACCTTGAAGCTACACAGATTGTACTCTTTTGGTGCTGTGCTATGTTGGTAGCACATGATTTTCTTGTTCCCATGTGCCAATCTAGTTAGGATGTAGGATCAACGTTATGATACATCTCACCATTTAGCTCCCTTTTTGTATTCTCTTTCACATCTTTAATAAAAATTTCTTTGCCATTCAAAAAAAAAAAAAAATTAACTGAAACTAATGTAAATTGTGTGAACACACAATGATAAACAACGTAAAATATACATTTTAGTGTGAAAGATTTGTCTGTCGTCTTTTTTTCATCTATATGATTAACAAATTTTTGATGAAAACATGATTAAATATAATGTGAATTAAAATTTTAAGGGAGCTCTTTGTAATTATATCAAACTCATGAGATTTTATTGTATTTTCTCCAAACCTTAAGGGATGTAGTGTAGGGTTTTTTGTTTTTATACTTTTCTGTTATTCTATTTTATGTATGTAAACTAACCCCAAATTGTAATTAAACTAATGTTACAGGTTTCGGATAACTGTTTTTTCTTGTACATTTTTCTATTTATTGGGAGCTATGGACAAGATTGTCTTGACTACATCTTAGCCAAAGGAACATTTCAAAGGTGGTGGAGTGATCAAAGGATGTGGATGGTGAGGGGAGTCACATCTTACATGTTTGGATTAATAGAATTCATATCGAAGTACGTAGGCATTGCCACACAGGGATTCAATGTCACCAGCAAAGTAATAGACAATGAACAGGGCAAAAGGTATGATCAAGGGACATTTGAGTTCGGAGTTGAGTCGCCCATGTTTGTGTCACTAGCAGTAGCAGCAATAATCAATTTAATTGCATTTATTGGAGGGTTGATCGGAGTTTTGAGGGGCAAGAACTCAGAGGGACTGTTTGGTCAATTGTTGATTTCGGGTTTTGTGGTGTTGAATTGTTGCCCAGTTTATGAGGCTATGGTGTTGAGGACTGATAAAGGAAGGATGCCTACTAAGACTACCATCATTTCCACATTTCTTGCATGGGCTCTATACACAGCAGCTTCTCTTATACTAAAGATGTGAAATTAAAGGGGGGGGTTATATTGTTTTACTTTTCATTTTATAGAAAATGAAGAGATAGAGAACTTGAATTGCATGTAATCCTGATTAACTAGGGACATAATTTGGGGAATACTGGTTTATTGTAAACTACGTGATTTTGTCGGCATTATTGCCTATTTAAGATTGTGTTTGGCCTCGTGATTCATAATAATAAAAAAAAA